CAAAATAATGATAAAAACCATGAAGCGATGAAAATAATACAAAATATGAATAATTTAGTTTATTGTCTGTCATAAACAGATCTCTGGTTCGCTATTTTTAGCCATTCAAAAAATGTTGAATATATATACTAGTTTTAATTAAAATAGCTAAGAATAATAACTGTATTCTGTTATAACTATAGCTAAGCATTGCAAAATCCAATGACAAATTGTGAATTTTACAACAGGTATAGTTCAATAATGATGCCATTATTTACTCAATAAAAATTATTTATAACCATAATGTGATAAGAGAAGTGTTTTTCTTTTTAAAAAAACAATTGGAAAAAAACAGTATTTACATTGTTGTCCATTCATGATATTTTCGGGTTAGTTAAATATGAAGGTATAAAGGAACTAAGAACACCATTTTATGTAAACATTTTCCTATGAAAGACTTCAGAACAGTGTTTAATGTAAAGATTTTCCTATTATTTTTCAATGATTTAACTAACATATAATAGCATACTAGACATTAGGCTTTGTTGTTAATGTTGTCAGCTATTATAACACCCTTTAAAGAAGTGCTTAGCCATTCCATTTGACTTTCCCTAAAACTAACCAATAAAAGTTTTATTTATTTATTATTTTTTTTATGAAAAAGACTGACATTTTTTAGTGCTAACTAACCATGCCTGTATCAAGTCCCAATGTTTGAAATGACTCAAATAATGACATTTTGATATCATTTTTTTCAACTGGCTTCAGCCAACTGTGTAGTTACAAGCATTCCATGTATTTTGCAAACTGAAAAAAAATTGTCCTAGGGTTCTTTGCTTATAAGTTTTTAAAAAGAAGCAACATGTCTTTTGGACACAAATGTGCTATCTAAATATAAAACAGATAGATATATGACAACAAAGCTCCTACCAATGCTAAAGAAATAATACAGTAACAACATTTCGAACTTGATGTGTAATTTCAAATCATTCAAAATACCATATTTGATTTCTGTTCCCTATATCTTACAATTTCAATGCAACATGCCAATGGCATCAATATATAATTTTCAAATAAATAAATAATAGATAAAAGTTAGATTAAATTTTCCACGAATGGAAACATTCCACATCATTTTCAAATAATTCAATCAATGAATTTTTCCACTAAAACCTCAGACCAAAGTCCCTGAAAAATAAGCAGTTCATCACTTATTTTGCTATCACCAAATCACCTGGGCTAGAGAAAACTATTGAATTTGCAATCACTGATATATTAGAATAAAAAGGTATATGGATTACTTTTAAGTCACACATCTCAAATAAATTTAAGAACAGCAAGAAAAAGGGAGGAAAGCAGACAACCCCGTGGTGAGTCATGCTGCCTGTAGGATTGCTGCTAAAATATAGAGTCATTTTGCTCTCCATAAACCAGTTGTCATGGCAGCAGTGACAGACAGGTGTCACTACACAACCTGGCACTGGAGAACAAGAGAACAGAGTGATGGATATCCTCCATTACACTGAGTTGGATTTGAATTGTTCAGTCTGGAATTGGTAAGTATTGCATGCAAGTTTGATATGAACCAGTTGGAGCATGCTTGAACACAATGGCTGTCACAGCCAGACTAATCTCAACAGATGCAATCAGTAGAAAAACTGTTTTATCATGATTTTTATTTTAGATTTTAAAGCTATGCTATCCTAGTTAACATAATATTGTAACAGAAAAATAGAAGGTATTAGTAAATTAATTGCAATAATCATTCACAATTTCCTAATTATAAAGCAGAGTTATTTGTTCAACAACATTCCTTTTAGTTTATGGAGAAAAATATTTTTAATTCATCTAAAGAAACTAGCATACTGACTGTAAAAATGCTTTTCTTTAGAATATTATCATATTCATAAGCAAAGGGTTAATATTCACAATGTCAACCATTTTTCAGCCATAACTGAATTATGTTCCCCTAACACAACATGGGTGCATAGCCAGGACGCTGTCAACTCACTCAATTCATGCAAACAAAGAGAAAACCAAGACAAAACACTCAAAAATAACTCCAACTGATACAACAACAAGAACACTTGACTAACCTTTTGGTCAATCTTCTTATTGCTGGCATCTTCTTCATCAAGCTCGAAGTAGAGCTCAGACTTAGTGATGGACATGGTGCCGTTGATGACCACCCCTGGGGCCACTAGCTTGGAGGGAGTGGTCAAAGCTACAGGACCTATGGTAATAAACACACAGCCCTCACTATAAAGCATACTGACTAACCTGATAAAAATGACACTCTTTAGCTTTATAAAATAACATGTGTTTGGTAAACTGTCTTGAAAGAAATTAAGGATGGTAAGCAAACAAGCACTTTCTGTCTTCCTAAAACTTTCAAAATACACTTGTATATTGGTATGAATTCTATGACTTTACTTTCATTGGCAGTACCAACCAATCAAGGCTGGGAGAAGAGAAGAGGCAGCAATGGGTAGCTTATGGTTTGTAAGGCAGACTTGGCTTAGATGCTTCATAATTTTATCAGCAAAATAGTACAAATGAAAATCAGTCAGGTGTTTTAAGACACAGAAATGTGTTAAAGATTGGCTTTAAACAATAATAAATTTCAGCAAGAACAATTCATTGAAAATATTGTTTTATTACAACAAACAAAACTGATCTTACCTGCAAATTCAATCTCTAGTTCTTTCTCGTCCACTGCCATGAGTTCCTCATCAGTAAAGTCTGGCTGTTGCTGCTGTTTCTGCTGCATGGCGGCCAGGTGTGCATGGAGAGCCTCCCGTGCTGAGTTCACGGCATCCTCGGCAGCGCCTGGCGGGGAGGAGAGGAGGGGTGTTTGCTTTAGAATTAATGCATGTGGAATAAGAAGTGTCACTATGGGGTTCAACATACTACACTACCGTTATATTATTTTTAAAAAGTTTAAAATTTAAAAAAAGCTTTTCTTCATCAAAGGAAAATTTCACGGTACAATTCCATTCTCCTTAGTTCCACAGAGATAACTGTCACCTGGATACAACATGAAGTTTCTGTCAAATCTTACCATGTTCTATTGCGGCTTTAAGGGCAGCCTCAGGATGTGTGGAACCATACGGATTTCTGACAAATCTTCTCCGTCGTCTAGAATCATCTTCCCACGAGTCCAACTTCCAGAACTCTTGGCCACTACAATGAATATCATGAAATTCAAGTCAAATGCAGTAGTGGGCAGTCTGTACAAATTCATAGATCCTCCTGCCCTGTACTGGTGCTTAATCACTGAATGTTTTATTAAGATCTCTTCCATTTTTTTCATTATGTTGGCCTGAAAGTGATCTATAGTAATAAAAAACAAACTTTATACACCTCACATGCTCACTTCTCCATTTTTTTTTTCATAAAAAAATCTCTCCCCAAAAAGCAAAAATTGTTGGAAACAATAAAGGTATAGAAAAAAAAACAAGGGCAATATGATAAGATAGTGAAAACTATTGGAGGAGAAAAAACAACACACCATTTCTGTAGCCTAGAGAAATTTAGAACAAATTTGTCCAAATTGTAGAAGTTACAGGGAGTGTAAAATTTACTTATTGTTAGGCTTTTTTATGAAAACTTGTAGGTCACATATACTCCTTCCTGGCTTTTATTTATCAATTATTTCCAGATGTAATTGTTACGCATGGAATCTACAATGAATGATCTCCTAACTCAACTGCAGATGGGCTTCATTCAAGGAAGATACATAAGTAATAACATTTTAGAAATATATGAAGTCAAGAGTAAATAGCTTCCTGGCCTGCTAACGCTGCCAACAGAACAGTAACTGCCACTATCCACCCACCTCTGGTCTTCAGAGCCCCAAGCACCATGTTTGTTGGTCATAATGTTGATGACTTTGTCCCTCAGTTTGGTAGCTATGACATGGTCCCTCCTCCTGGCAGAGCTGATCAGGTGGTCACATAACTTCTCCTCCTCACGGCGCTCATGCATGCTCTGAGCACACAATGACTGAAACCAACAGCAGAAATTTTATCATTTTTCAAGTTTTAATTTTATTCAATCACTTGACAGGAATAAACCAAAGAAACAACTGATAATTATAGCAGCACATGAAATACATTTACAACATGATGCACTGACAGGTTATGGAACTGTGTATGACAGCTATTCCTCAAACTGTGAAGGCTATACACCTGTATATGACAGCTATACCTCAAACTGTGCAGGCTATACACCTGTGTATGACAACTATACCTCAAACTCTACAGGCTATACACCTGTATATGACAGCTATACCTCAAACTGTGCAGGCTATTCACCTGTGTATGACAACTGTACCTCAAACTCTACAGGTTATACACCTGTATATGGCAACCATACCTCAAACTCTGCATGTTTCTGCACGTCCTCAGCTCTCATTCTGTTCAGAATAAACTCAGCTTCATTGGCAACACGCACCACATGATCCCTGGTAGCATGAGCCAGTAATCTGGAAAATACACAGGAAATGATAAATGTATACAATACAGGTGATTTGAAGAGATGACAATAAATACAGGGTATCCTACCCACCCCACTTCTGTCAAATGCTAAAATCATATACTGCTTTAAGCTTTACTTGACTCAAGAATCTGTCACTTAGCTTTCCTAAAAAAAACCAAGTTTTAGTAACATTTGCTTTTATAGTTCCCAAACCTATACACAATTAACCACGTGAGCCCAAGCTGGACACTTATGACCAGGTTTATTGAATAACTTCTTCAATATTTTGCTCTATATCTACCTTCCTTCATTGACCAGCTCTATAAAAGCCAGCCCAGCATGTTTCTGCAAGGAGTTCTGCCATTCCTGGGAACACAGCAGCATTACCAGCTCTACTACAGATGTGCTCTGTTTCAGAGTAACCAAACCTTAAATACAGAGGTACATTAGTGCAATAGCAGCTTCCTGGAGAATATCATCAAATACAGCAATAAATGAACTCAGACAATTGCAACTCAATAGCATTTTATTTGCTTTTCTTCAGAAGTGTGTGTGTGTGTGTGTGTGTGCGTGCGTGCGTGCGTGCGTGTGTGTGTGCATAAGCGCATGCAAGCAACAGGAGAGAGAGAGAGAGAGAGAAGAGTTTTGCACTTAACAATACAAATATTTGGCATCAATAGGGTTAGTAAGTATGTTTTTAATGGCACAGTGACCAGTTACCCCAATGACAGTAACAGATGAAAGCTCTACATACAATATTATTAGCCAAAGTTTTTATGTGGGACTGAAGTGTACACTAACCTCCCACCAGCAGCTCCTGTCCATGGGACCCCATCAACGTCTTGGACAAGTAAGGAGCAAAGTCCACAAAGATCTCCCTGAGAAGTGGGGCACTGGTGCCAAGTGCTCTCTCCAATCTCTCTGTTAAGGTCCCCTCATCCTCTGGTGCTGGTAGATTTTCTACAGTACCTGAGAACAATTTTGTTATCGATAAGTATGACAGAAACCAATTTTACATGACATAATATCTGAGATATGATATAAAATTGTCAAAAAATGTACCTGTTGTTATCAAATTCAAGTATACAAATTCCCAATAAATTGCAGTTTTATATTGCGAAGTCACCACAAACAGAAGTAGTCAATGTGCAGGTTTACCATACTGTACAGAAAAAAGTGACACTAGCAACACAAGCTGCCCCAAAGTTAAAACAAGGCAGCAAAGCTGTCAAATGTACAGACAAAAAACAGAAAATAAAGATGCAAAATAGGTCATTTTGTCAATTTTGATGCAATAATAAATAATGCTTATAATAACACAGTCAGTTAACACTGATTTTTAAACATGCACAACAGGTAACATGGTCAATAACAGGAGCAGATAAAGAGATATTTTCTGACAGTATTCCAAAGTATCTTTGTTGATCCATCCTCCACTTTTGATGGTCTTCCAACAGAAAAAAATCTGACCGTCATCTGAANTAAAAGTGCACGGCGACGGCGACGGCGACGACGGCGACGACAGACGCAGATGATGGCTATATGTACAGACACATCTGTGTCTGTACATAAAAATAATGTGGCACAAAAAGCAATCTAGACAATCTAGACATCTGTCATTAGCCCACTTTACCTGGCATATGTTTGCTGAAGTCAAAACTCTCTGGCCTCTTACGTTCCTCTTTCCCATCTCCTCCTCCACCTTCTGCACTGCCTGCAAACTGAATTGAAGCAATGGCATTCTCTGCATGAGGGTCTGCATCCATACGCTTAAACTCCTCCGGCTTCACACTGTCTCCAGCATCTGGTGCAGTATGTGGTGGTATCTGCTGCTGTTGCTGAGCTGTCTCCTGATGTCCAGGATGTGGGAACTCTTCTGCTTCCTCCTGGCTGCCATCTGAAGGGGCAATGTAATATTCAACAAAACAGCAAAAGTTGCAAATATAAAGACACTTCACAGAAAGTACATGTAGTTCTAACCGATGTTTGAACTCAATTGTCTTCTCACCAAATAATAGTCTACTAGCAAATTTAAAATATTATAATATTACAAATACTGTTGAGCATTTATGGAGAAACTATTCATCAAAACCATACTCCGAATTTGCATTATATTTGTATTTTCAGTCCAAGGTCTTAAAAATATTTTATACTTGAGAAAAAAAATTTAGAGGTTGTAGTTTAACCTCAAAGGCATTCACACAATATTCTATTCTGTTATATACCCTGTTCTGGCCTGTCATTTCTTCTCTCCTCCTCCAAACTAACTTCTTCCAATCCAACAGGTTCCTGGGTTTTTTCTGTCCCACCACTGTCATCTGTAGTCTGATCAGAAGTCTCGGGTTCTCCATTCTCCACAGTTTCTTCTACAAAGTGAGCAGTATAAGAGTGGTGAATTAAGAAGTAATCATGAATAATCCTTATATGTTTTTGTGCAATTTGCATAATAAAATAAGTTATAACAGTTCACCTTACTTCTCTTGAAATTAATAAAGAAAAATGAGCATTTCTTGTCAAATAAATATAAAACAATCTAGATACAAGAACTATCACCGATATCTGTGTACATCCATAATATTTGCACTCTTAGACACCTTAAATTGATCTTAAGGATGAAGGGGGAGGGTGCCAAGTAAGTGGCTATCTTCTTAACCAATCAAGATATGCCAACATGTTGCATATCAATAGAAAGCTTATTCTAACAGCTTTTCATTTCACATCCTCATTATAATGGCATCTTGGACTTTATTTTGCTCCCCCCCCCCCCATGGCTAAACAGTGGCCATTCTCATAACACCCCCACTACAGTAAGCAGTGAAAAAGACAATTCCTAATCATGGCCAGCCCAATGACTTACCTTTTTCTGTGTCCTCTTTCTCAGTGTCTCCTTCCTCCATTGCTTGAGCAACAACATCTCTTAAGACATTAGCTTTATCACCTTCCTCATCCACTTTAGCCTCCTCACTCTTTTCCTCAGAGTGAGAGTCCAATTTCTCATCTGCAGGTACGGTTTCTCCTTGCTCTTCTTCCTTCTCAGACTCGTTTACTTTGTCAGCATCTCCTTGTGAGGCTGTCTCTGTCCCCATGTCATCTGGTGTGGGCTGTGGAGCAGGTGGTTCTCCTGAGGACACTGTCTTCTCCTCCCCATGCTTGCTGGCAGCCACCTCACCATTTGCCCTGCTCACAGCATGGTCCTCAGGTGGCCTCGTGACAGCTACGTCTGCATCTGGTCTGGTCACAATCCTTCTGGGTGATACAGATTCTGAAATAATAATAATAATAATATACATTTCAATGTGAAAAATTTTAAAAATAGTTGTTATGTATAGCAATGTGAATTCTAAATATCTTTTAAAAATGTATCATCATATAGTCACAAAATCAAAGAAAATGGTGCATTAGATAGGTGCGTACATATTTGAATACAAGTATACAGACTGTGCACTATGTACATCTGTGTCTGCACATAAATGTTAAACATGATTTACCACAAAACTCTGTCCCCTTCTAATGGTCAGCTGTAAAGGTTTCAGGCAAATGCCAATGCATAGCTCATTATTTTCAGTGTATTTGAATAAGGCATTGCAGCACTTCCATTTTTAGTAAAATGAAAGCTTTTAAACCAAAATTGACAATATCAGTCACATAAAAAATCCTGTTATGGTTTCCTACAATCCATCCGTTTTTCTTTCTTAAGCTGCATTTGTGTCTGTGCCATAAAGATTATCACTATGTGTAAAAATCTATAGACATGCACATAAATACTTAGCAACAACACTGATCTACCACAAGTTTAAAGAAAGCATAAGCCTGATTACCAAATATGAAGAGAGAGTAAAAAATCTTTAAGAGTTACATTCTGACAACATCAGTTATGTAATCCTACTGCCAGGCTTTTACCATATTCTGTGTCAGTTGCATGCACAGAGTGCAAACTTTATTCACCATCTATCAGGCACATGCTCTCAGTTTGCCAGACATCATAGACCTGCTTCTACTGCTTTTCTTCTTTACAAGTCTGCCATGCATTGGGTGCAAGATTGCCATGCTAAAATCCACAGCCAGTGTTCACTACAGACAAAGACCTTGTGAAAGCATCCATGAACTACCTTACATGACTGAACCCCTATCTGAATTATCCTCACCACTGTGATCATATCTGCTGTCCGTAACCCTCCAGGTGTCTTCCCTGGTGTCACCATCACCACTGGTGTCACTAGCACACATATGTGCCAGCACACCACCGCTGTCAGCACCTGTGTACACTACCACTACAAACACAAGGCAAAGCCCAGTCATTTGAAAACCACTGGATGGTACAGATGATCCAGTACACTAAATATAGACTGAGATCAACTTTTCAAAGCTTATTATTTAGTTTATAATTCGTTGCATTACCACACATTTCATCCAAATATCCTGTTTTAAATGTTACACACAATATAAGAAAGTAATATATGATACTAAATAATAAAACCTTTTAAGATGAGCTGTTTTACTCAATAAAATCAACATTTCTGATACAAAGTGAAGAAACACTTTCCCTATTAAAAACATCTATTTTACTTTGCACAGATAAAAACAATGGGTTTGAAGAGTGCATATTTCTCATTCATGTACACTACACTACAATCAAACTTCATAGATTTAAACAACTACCAAACAAGGCTCAATATCAACAGTACTCTAAAAGTTAAAATACTTCATCATAAACTTATTATATTCTGCAAACTCCATCAAAGTAACAGTTGCATGCACTTTTTTTTCAAATCCAAAATCACTAACACATAAAGCACAGCACCACATTTGCAAGAGAGGAAAACAGAGTAAACAGAGTAGGACATGTAGGAAGGATGTTGTGGTTATATAAACAACATCTTCCATTTGAGACACATCCACACAGGCCAACTTCACTAAGACTTAACCTCAAAAATAATTGGTTCATCCTAGTGGTTGATCAATCTACTTTAAAATGTCCAACTGCTTCCATAACCCTGAGCACTCTGAGTTCGTACATGCAAATATATTTTTCTTTAAAGAACAATTCCAGAAAAGTTATAGCTTATCAACAGAATTCATAGGTATTATGAAAAAGATTCACTCATTTCTTTTATCAGTAAAACAGCAGTTAATCTGAGCCCCACAGTTTAGAGGTATACCCTGCAACTGTTGTGTCTGTACAAGACATACATGCTTTCTTCAGCTGTGTGTTCGTCAGCCTTCATCTAGCTGTGGTCTCTCAGAACCTACCTTCTTCCTCCTCTATCTGTGAGGCAGAGCGGCCTATCCTGACACCCACTGTAGATGGTGTGGACGGAATGCTGGGCGGCTCCAGAATGTCGCGGTACTTAGAAACCATCAGAACAGAGACAAAGTACACGATGGCTAGAGACAAGAACTGAGCTTGCTTGGTTTCCTCCTAATAATCAATAAAGGAGAATATGGTAAAAGATGATATAATACAAATAAATGCAGCTATGAAAGGAAAGAGAACAGCAACAAAATCCAACATTACAAACACTGCCTACTCAATATGTGTAAAACAAGTGAAATTATTGCAATCAAGGCAAAGGTAAAACCTGTGCAGAAGAAAGGAGAATGAACCTTGTTACTGCTGGAAAAGATAGAATGGAGGTGAAAATTGACAGCTTTGGAAACAGAGAAAAATACTATTCATGAGCTGTCTATCTGGACATGGATAATGCCTGTGCAAACTTTGTCAGTGTGAAAGTATGCAGCATAAGAAATGTGAACAATGCTTACAATGTCTCTGTAGACCACAGCACGGAGTCTGTTGATGTCCATCTCCTGGAGGAGTTTTTCTGGGTCCTTCACTGGGTTCTCCTGGCTGCCCAGGTGTTCAACTATGTTCTGAAATAAGATTTTGTCATTCAATAGAAATGTTGTCTTGATAATTACATTCAATCTTAGATCATTTCATTAATTGTTTGATAGTCAACTCTTTCCAAATGAACAGAAGGTGACCTCATTGAATACCAATTTAGAACATAAACGTTCTTAACAAAAACAAAAGAGAAAGAAGAAACCCAAAAGTAATTTTTTATATTTAAAAATATATTTTTCTTTCCGTTACAGAAAATACATTAATAACTAAATTTCAGAAAACAACTCTCTGTAAAGTGGCTTACTTCAGTGGATGGTCGGATTCCATTGATAAGAGACTGTATGATGGGGTTGGCCACCTGGATACCATTGGGCCCCAGTCCAGTGGGGGAGGAGGTCACTGACCCTGACCTTGACCTTGTTCTAGTCCTGCCACGGGTGAATTCACGGTGGCGACATTCTAGGCAATTCCTTACTGCAGCTGTACAAACTGAAAAATATACAACAGATGTTAATTGCACTGAATGAATTCTTATATCAAATTCGTAACTTATTTCAAATGCAAGCATCCTTAAATTTGCAATATTTGAACAAGGTGACAATAATCATATCATAATCTGTCCTTTTGGACCTCACCCATTCTCAGACATTGCCTGAGTATCCCTCCACTGGCCATGTTCTTCTCTTGTTCCAGTTCTGGGAGACTAGCAGTGCTGGCAAACAACATGATGTCTGCCAGGTGAACAAGGCGATGTAGGAAGGAAATAGCTTGCTCCAAGGTCAGACCATGGCTGGCTTCTAGGATCTCCATCTCCCCCTAATGGTGGATACGCACAGTTAAATACTGGGACTACTTATGTTAGAAAATCTAATGATATACAAGGTACTTACGAATATAAGAAGTGAATATGAAAGAGAAATGTACTGACAAAGAAGTAAAAGAGAAACTTTTTAAGTGCCTCAACAGCATGATGCAGTGCTTTGAAAAATTAAATTTTTGTTGTTCACTGAGGAGTAGATTGCAGCAAATACAGCTTTGTAGCACAATGTCAAATGAAATTGTACCTTTAATCTCATTATTAAAATGATTTTGAAAATACTATGGTTGTAAAGATCTTGTCAACAGTTTGGCCAACAAAAGCTGACTAGCTGACAAACTGGAATTATGACATCACCTGTAAGATGACGTGCTTGTAAATGTAAAATTTAGTCACTGAACACTGTGGATTTATCTGTTATCCAAAAGAACGTATGTAAGGCAGTAAAAAAGGAGTTTCTGGCTAATGCATACAGTTTGCTAAAACCACTCTATAATCAACCCAAGTTATGGTGAGGTAAAAACAATGGTGTGTAACCTGACCAGTGTGCCTATATGCTACTTACTGATGGGGATGTGGCGGCTGCTAGCAGTGGTAGTAATCCCCCGCAGGCTGTGATCAGGCCATCAGCGAGCTGCGAGATCATATGGATGGTGTTAACCACAAATATGTGATTATCTGAGGCATTCACAAAATCTAACACTGTCTTGCTGCTGTGACTGAAAGAGAAGATGATGGTTTAAGGTCGAGTAGGGCATCCAATTTGGTACTGTACACCAATTTATTGCTTCAATCACTGGCAAGCTGCTGAAATGTTTTCCAACATGATTCTTCTGAATACCTGCATATTTTTATTGCATTTTCATTTGTGAGCTTTAACCTGCTCTGTATCTAATGGGATAGTGATTCTCCCAGAGTTATGTGATTTTTAGAATTAAATGACAATGTTTGATTTTTCATGTGCAGTGTTAACAGATTATAATAATCATAAACCATAAACATAAAAAGAGCTAATCTCTTAAGGTTTCGTGTTCTATTTTTATAATGATAAAAGTTAAACAAATATTTCAACTTCTAGCATTCTTTTCTTTTCTGGTGAAGCTTAATCTATTTCTTTAGTTTGTTTTCAAAACATGTAGGTATAAATTGTAAGAGCTGGCTGTGTGCTATAACTTACGTCTTCCAGACCTGGACATCTTGTTCCACTGCAAACAGCAGGTCTGACAGCAGCAGCTGGTGCAGGGTGGACCAGTTGAAGTCTGGGATCCTAAAAGGTGGCGCTCTTGGTCCTGGGCTGAAGTGATGCTGCCCCCTGGTGCCAGCAGGGCGTTGTTTGGCACTGTCTCCTGTCTGATCCTTTGGTTGTGACTGCTGTGAGCTGCTTTCATGTTCAATACGCTCCTGGCTTTCAGCTTTGTTGTCATGTACTCCAGCAAGTGTGTCTTTCTCACTCTCCACAGAAACCTCAGTCTTCTCCTGAGCAACGTTTCCGCCTTCCTGGCCATCTTTACCTTCTTCCTCAACTTTCTTCACAGCATTTTGGATCACTTCATTCAAAAATTCTCTCACACCTTTTTCCAATTCAGCACCATCCATTTCAGAAACACTCTTCACAGGGGATGATGCATTCTCACTAACTTTGGAAGGACTGTCTTCTTGTTCTTTATCTCCACTTTGTATTTGTTCTTTCCCCTCAATTGTTGATGTATCTTGTACTCTTTGTTCTGTTTCTGTTGATCCTGTGCTGTCTGCACCAGTATCACCATTCTCTTTGATTTCTGTGACAGTGACAGTACTCTTGGGAGCCGGCTTGGTGTATGTGTGTTCATCTGAGATGCCAGATATGGTGCTGACAGGATGGGTCTGCCTGGCCTGGGGGTCCGAGATATGGTCCACACGCTGCTGCTCATACTGACGATACACCTTGCTCATGTGGATACGGAAGTCTTCATAAGATATCTGAAAGAGGAACATATTTTTTACAAGGGGCTGTCACAGGAGCAGGACCCAGTGCACCACTTTTCAGTGAGAATGCATGAGGCCAGGATGTGACATAAACTTAGGAAAACTGATCACAACGAACCTGGCATACCTAACTTGTAATAATACTAGACATGACTCACCTTTGAATGTAGAATGGCCAGGGTATCAATCCAGACCCTCCACCCCCCATACTCTATCTTAATGGCATGGTGAAGCAGCATCTTGAAGAGAGCCATCACCATGCCTGTGATCTTCCTCTCCTCCTGGTTCCTGGGGTATGTGTAGGCCATGGAGAACAGCCAGTCCTGCCACACAGACATCTGTAGGATGGTTCTACAACAGTCAGTACAGATTACACACTTAACATGCTCTCCAGGGGAAACAGATATTGTAGAAGAGCTTCTTTAATTGATAACCATAAACTGCATATTTACGTACTGTTAATTTTGTTGAGATAGCTAATGAAATTATTTGAACAGAAGAAAAGGAATTGAAGCACCAATTTTATGCTGTCTGCAAATATGTTCATTATCAACCAAATTGCAGTTTTCATTTTTCTTTTCAAATATTTCTTGTCACACGTGGTTATAGTACCTTCTGTTGTCTTTGTTGTTATTACAGAGAATCATGAGATCAGAGAGGAAAACTTTCTTGACCTCCATCAAACTTTCTGTCTGCCTTGACTGTCTTATTAGTGTGGCCACCACCTTTAAAATCACTGAAACAAAGAAAAATATGACTTTGTATACTTTGCAGGTGGTGTGATACTTCAACATGGTACTTTTTTTATAAAACTTTTTTTACATTTCTTATTGTTAATAACTGAGGAATCAAACAGAGCTTCTGTGAAAAACAACCATAAAAACAATACAAACAATATTTTTTTTTATTTTTCACTCTCTAACAAAGAACTTCTCATTTTCTTTTATCTTTGTTTCAATGAAAATAATTAATATCTTACATGAATTTTCTATCCTAAAATTGTTATCTGGTTCTGGGTGTTTGCCTACAATCACAGTTTTGGACATCCTCTCTGTCAACACCTGGAGTTAAAAAATTCCAGAAAGAAATAATTGCAAGGACAAATAATCAAGGTAAGAAATAATTTAGATAGCTTAACAGACATGCTGAGCTACAATTTTGTACTCACCCTAAACAAAAGGCTCATGTGACACAATTCATTTCACTTTCTCTTTCTCACATTACACTTTACAGTTACTCTCAAGTACAAAAAGTTGGTTTTAACTTTTAACATCATTTTACCCTCATTATGAAGAAAGGAAATATATTTGCAAACTTACTTCTTGGTCAAAATTTTTTTTATAAATATTTATTGATTAATTCTAACAACCAACTTTGGTTTCCATGCACATTTTTTGAAAATTAATTAAAACATCTAATTCTCATCTAATATGAGACAAAGCCAGACTCCTCCGGTGAATTTAGGTCCATGTATTTTCCCTTACCTCAAAAAGCACATTGTATGTGTTCATGGTGAGCTCGTTACTATGGAGACACAACCTCTCAGAGAGCAATGAGAACAAGTTGTATGGCCCCATGGAGTCATGTTTGCGCCTGGAACAGTGACCAGAACTATTTAAAAATTCAGTTTATTGCATTCATTTATTGCATTTTGACTGAACTATAATTCTGTTACCTAGAGAAAATTTTTCTACTTGCTTAAGTAAATCAACAATAATTTCAAAAATTGACTTTTTCCAAACAATTTATGTAGCGAGAAAACTAGAAAATAAAAAGTAAATTACAGGAATAATTTTACCATGTTCTAGATTGGAAGCATAACTTATAGACACACCCTTCAAGAAAACAACACTTTCAAGAAATTGACAAAAACCGGTACATGTTTTTAGCTGTTCCCAGCACAATTAATGCAAACGCCCTGCAATGTCTGATACAAAGAATCAACACAACATTTACACGTTTGCTTACGATGTCTACAATATATTACAATGTGTATAGTACACTTTGTTCTCAATGACAATGCAAGGTCAGAAATACACAATTCCATCAGTCTTATTACAAGTTTAAATTTTGATTATGAAACCTTCAATAATGTACATGGTTTTTGTCTCAATATTTGCATAAGCTACAAAGCAACTTCCAAAACACAATGGAATTACATCATGATGCACTTAAGCGTTATGGTTTGCACCAAATTTGAAGAATTCTATATCAAAATTTACCCAACTGTTTCAATTAAAACTTGGTACATACATAAATTTGCTATGTGATTTTGCACAAATTTGCAAAATTTGATAGCTTTGTCTATTTCTTGAAGGGTGAGTATATGAATTTATGAAAAAAATTGAAATGGTTTATTTTTAAACATTATTTTTACTTCTATATTTTTTAAAACTGCTTACTTGTGTGTACTTCTCATGAGGAAGAATCCTAAGAATTTGAGTGTATTTATCCGGATCATTTCACTGGGAGATGCCAGCAGCTTAAACACCGTCCTGGAATGAACAACATTATATACAGCACTTCAGGCAGGGAAACCAGGCCCCCGCATCAAAAAAATGACAGTTACAGGATCACCTTAATAGAAGGGGATTACTTGAAAAGTGATGAGTTTCATAGTTATTGTATGTAAAATAACTGATCATCCCAGAGAACACATCCAATGTTTTGAACTAATAACTATTGTGATATACCCAGAGCTACAGCAGTAAAAGATTCTCTCCATGAAATTTACCCACCACAATGAGTTTCCCTGGGATGAAGGGCAATTATTTTCTTATACTTCCATTTCATTGCTCAACCTGTTCCTGCACTTGGATTTGACATCTTATTCCATTTTTCATTTTAATAATTTAGTTTTAAAGGACTGGCTAGTCATTTAGAATGACATCTGCCTTCACATACATTTTCTTGTTTTTACATAAGAAAATGGTGCAGTGTTTTGTATTGCAGCCATGTGCTGTGTACGATTCAGACATTGTGTGCTGTTAATGGCTACCAGAGAAGGCTACGAAGATAATAACAACACTAGGTATGTTTCAGATAATAATGGATTTTATAGTCTTTAAGGTCTAAACTGGGGAAATATAAGAAGCTTTCCAGGGCATAAATATTAATAAATAAATATGGGGGATAATCAAATGCAAGGAGTTCCTTTAAATAGTAAACATGAAAGATTTTCTACAGTCTGTCTTGTCTAGAAACAATAACCTACATATAAAATGTACTGCTTCCATCAAACACATTCAATATACAAAGCAGTCATCCTACCTGATTCCATTCTTCCTGTCAAAGCCAGGCACCATGGAGGAGGGGTGCTCTGCCATCAGTGTCACAACAAGACTCAACACATCTGACAGATTTTCATCCTGTAAAAATTCTTTATGTATCAAACACGCACTATTCACAAATTCTGCATTTAGTAAATACATACTGACTGCTGTGTTCAACACAATCATTATAATTATTCAGAAAATAATCCCAAGAATGGTATATTTTCTTCACCAGGCTGTCTGACCAAGATAAGCTTACTATGAGCAGCAAAAGTAACCTCTCTGTTCCTTCACTTGCCACCTTCTCCACTGTTTAATATGCCTAACAACTAACTTTTGAGAGGTCACTGTTTCTGCCCATGCTCATTGATCATACCAACAAGGTTTTCAATCTCTCTGCAATGTGCATATAACTTGTATAATAATTCATACAATGAAGGACTTACCTCATGCACTGTTGTCAGGAAGTTCAGCAAACTCTGAAGTTCGTCCTCGTATATCCCAGGCCCCCTCATGATCAGCTGCTTCAGATAGGACAGCATCAAGCTTCTCAGCTTAATGATCTCTTCTTTGGCAGGACGAGGCCCATCTGTCAACCATGGCAGCAAATGTACATTTAATCAATTCAAAAATTAAGGGGCAATATATTATAAATACATTCTGTTTTTAAAAACAGGTTATATGTACCTAATATGTTTAATTCAACTAGAAGATCAGAGAAGTAATACTGCTCCCTTGGTATTATATGTACCACAAGCTGGGTTAGGCACATCAAGGAAGATGTCACTCTTCAAAATGCAACAATTAACATGTATGTGCACATGCATGTTTTTAATTATTTTCCGTAAATTCTTATTTTGTCAACCAGATGGCCAATGTGTGTATATATGTGTGTCTGAATACCCATGGTCACATTAGATTCAGATAGACCAATGATGTCATAGGGGCCAGACAAAACAGTTTTCAAGAGCACTATAATGCTTAAAATGAGTTATTTCTGGTTTATTATAATACCCTATTTTTCAACCAAAGCCTCCGCTCTATGTATGTGAGGCATTTGTGAGACCAGACAGTACCTGTTCCTTTGGGTGTGATGCCGCTCCTGTCTTTAGGATTGGTCACCCAGTAGTAATATTTGAGAGAATGCATGGTCTGCAGCACAGCGCTGACACGTCTGATGTTGGTGTAGATTTGGGCATCAGCAATAAACTCTGTAGACATGTATGTCCACAGCTTGGTCTGCACCTTGAAGTGAGAATTAGCTAAGTGAAACACTTGTAACTGCATCTAGTTCAAATATACTATTTGCCTAAAACTGTTTAGTTATTTGCCTGAAAAAATGCCCTCTTGAAGTGAGCTCAGACATCAGTGCAATGGTGTACTTGAAGGTTCACTTACTGCCACAGGGCTGTGTATCCAGAGAGCAGGGTTAAATAACACATGGTCAAATAACTGCTTCAACAGTGGTCCACCATTGGGCAGCCCAACCAGGTATTTGGTCAACTTCAGGAAAGAGTTCAGGACATCTTCACTCAGGTGCTCACGTGATGCCTAGAATGCAAAATTATTTCTGAATAAATTCTTCTTCGAGATGACACATGGAATGTTGTTAGATCACTTTAAATTAGCGACACTATACTCAAATGCACCTGCACAAATTTTTTCTGAATTTAATTACTTTGTTTTTTTTTCCACACTATTTATTAAATCTTATTAAAGCCACTAAATACAACAACAGTCATTACAAGATCCAGTTTTACTAAATAAAAAAAAACTTTACAGCAATTCCAAATATGGCTACATATACACTGCACCCTTAATACTGGTATATGCTATGGATAAATAATAAATATTTTGGACAAAAAATTGTTTAAAATGTTAGAGAACCAGTTTTTCATTCAACACTAGATAATATGAGTGTAATGAAGGCATTAACCATGTTTTTTGCCAGCAAACATAGGCCCTGCAGATCATCAGAAATTGGGGGAGACCATGCTAATTGATATTTAACAAATCAGGCACTCTGTCACAGCTGAAATAAAGTCATATTTGCTCAAAGTGTAGTCCAAGGCTCAGTTAGTAAGAATTGTCTGGATTAATATAGGCTACAGCTGCTCTATGTCTGTGCTGTTCTGAAGGCAACAAATCAAATCATGAAATGAAATGTGAAGTCTAGAATATAACCACCAAGCCAAGTGTTAGTTGTAGAAGGCAGATTGCATGAGTAATCACTTGGTTTGAGATGCCATTCCAAAGATATCAGGTTTGTCTCACAAACCTCTGTCAATGTGACAGCATTCTCGTGAAAATAAAACTACTAAATGTAACATTGTGTCGAGGTCATTGCAATATGCTGGAAAAAGATGAACTGTTTGAAAGCTGGTTAGTTCTAAGGTGGAGCAGTCACCACTGCAACCGCATGCAAATAGCACGGTGCACAGTGTCCAACCAAACTGCAGTTATAACTGCATACTTACTGCATCACAGGTTTCAGAGGACCTCACTATTGCCTGGTGAAAACATTGGGAATTATAAACACATTTGTTACACTGCCATTGTATTATATATGCTAATAAAATCATAGTCATGGAAAATTTAACTTGTTTCAATATACTTAATGCTGACAAAAAGCCAATCTTACTGGTCAATATGTATTCCAATTCCCTACACTGGTCTAATTTTCAAATAAGGAATCTATATCTAAATCACAGGCTACTGAATCAGAGAATTCTAATGGCATGTATATATATGTCTCCTGATTCTAGCTAGTAAAGAAGTAGTAGACAGTAACAGCCACCGTGTGCCTAAAGATGTCAGTTATGCTATTCATGGCCTGGGAAGAGCTACAGGTTATAGCATACATGTCCTCTGCCTCAGAATTTTTGTGCCATCACTGAATTGCAAAATTAAATGGAAAGAAATCCGCAGAAATACATGTACATGTAGGTGGTGACCTAATGGAACCAGCATATTTTAATATATAAGCAAAGCACTTAATTTTCAGGTTTCCAACCGTATTTAAATCAGATACATTTTGAATATCAAACCCTGACCATGAACCTTATTACCACCATACTCCAATAGCAATAGCAACGTGACACAGGTAAAGGGTTAGAAATCCACTTTAACCAAATGCTACATTAGTGAAAAGAATGGGTAGTATAAAGAACAAGTTTCTGAATGTTTTTTTTTTTTTTTTTTGCAACCTAGAGATTCCCCTGCCACCTACCTTCTCCAGCAAGTAACTTATCACCAGGAAACCTCTGTTCTGTAACATCTGCTGCTGGATAGTCACGGAGCTCTCCAGTAAGTCACAAAGGAGGGCCAAAAGTGTGGAGCTGAAGAAGAAGACCCACAATCACGTCAACAATCTATCCCAAAAGACAGTTTTAAAAAGTAATTAACATTAAGCAACAATGTTAACTGACAGTAATATTCAATGATAAAAAGCTTAATTTTCTAATCCACATTTAGTAGTCTAATAAATATCACTGCTGTTTAGTTAATGATCAAAACATTGGCATCATTTTTACAACAATTGAATTACCCTTTAAAGTACCTGTAATTATCCATTTCAAGCTAAGTTATCTATGTAAAAAATTGACAATAATGAAAATAAACATCGAAGCAAATAAAATATCTCCATGTCTGTAGTACTTCCAGCTTACCAAACTGTGTGATCTACTTTCTCCTCCTCACTGGCACTCTCCTGTACGCAGTCTAACTGACCAAACAGTGGAAACAGGGTCTGGAAGAAAACTCACATGTAATTTTACTTTGGCTTTTCAAATGTAAAATTTGTATTACCTTACGTGACTTGCTGATGATACCCTAATGATGGATGAAGAGTGTAAAATGTATCATGTGTAATGTTGTATTCTACTATATCTTACCTGTATCATGTGTGATGTTGTATTCTACTATATCTTACCTGTATCATGTGTGATGTTGTATTCTACTATATCTTACCTGTATCATGTGTGATGTTGTATTCTACCATATCTTACCTGTATCATGTGTGATGTTGAATTCTACCATATCTTACCTGTATCACGTGCGATGTTGTATTCTACTACATCTTACCTGTATCACGTGTGATGTTGTATTCTACTATATCTTACCTGTATCCCCCCTAGGGAGTGGAGAGTGCTGTGGATGGAGTGGGTCACTACTGCTTTTACTCCCTAGAAATATATAGGTTACTCTAAGTATATTTAAATACACATACAAACTCCAACAAGCTGCTGTACAGGAATTTAATAGTTTAAAGCTGTGTATCTTAGTCTTGTGCTGGCAAACATTCCCATCAGATAAAAGTGAATAATCCTGGCTAGAAAATATACTTGGAGAAAAAATTATGGGTCACACTGTTATTGATTGTGGCAGTCAACTGATTACAGTGGGTAAAAGTGGTATAATGGGACAGAATATTTATTAAAAATAAATAAATATATAAATTATAAATTTTGGACCAGTCTTGACTTAGTTTGAAACATTCATGTAAAGTCAGAGGGGCAAAGGGTAATGGCACCTGTGTCACAGGATGGATAAAGAATAAATATACAAATGGGGCCTGTGCAATGCTGTGTTTTACCAATATAAATAGGTGGATGGATATTGATCACCACCAAAATCGAATTATTTATCCTTTGGTCCACTCTTTAAATTCCATCAAAATCCGTCCAAAACTATTCACATAATGTTCCTAACAGACCAAAAAAAAAAAAAAAAAAAAAAAAAAAAAAAAAAAAAAAAACAAACAAATGGAACATTATGTTTGGATTCTATCAATTATACTAAGTGTTCTACTGTCATCAGTTCTATAGTTTAATCATATTATTACAAGTGATTTTATTAAATTCAGGTAAAATGCTTTCCAGATCTGATAGTTTTTCTTGTATTACTATAATATTCAAGTTAGACAATTTAAATATTATTGTAACTGGTTTTTAGACTGTCTTTAAAAGGCAACAGCCAACAATAAAGTTATAAGATATTATATTATATTATGATAAAAAATATCCTAAGGAATGTGTACCTCTAACATGAGAGCGTGTGGCGTGTGGACAAATATGGAAGGGTTTCCTTTAGGCGAGGACTCCAGGCAGAGCTGTCCATCACAGGCTATAGGGTTGTACATCATCACAATACTGGAGTGAAACTTGTCATCAAATAAGATCTGAAATCACAGTCAGGTGTTGACTAAGTTACAGCCAAGCTAACCCTCCAATGACAATCTAAACATTACATGCTCTGACAATTATTGGCTTATCATTGCATGACAACTACAGTGGTAAAATAAGTAGCCATTATACATACATGGGTGAAAGTTTTAAAAACTTAAAATCCTGAAAACGTTGCCTGCAATTTCTCAATTGCATTTACATTATTTGAAAAAAATTATCACGAAGACTGAAAAACCTTAAATCAGGGATAATCCTGAAAACTTTCACCCATGTATATACTAGGAGTTATGGAATGTTTTTCCAATAAAAAAAGAATTAACAATAATCAAATAAAAATCATGAAGATGCTATGAAAACAAATAATCCATGGAAATTCTCTCCACCATTAACTGCTGAATAAGTTCACTCCCACAATTATTGTCTTCTCATAGTCTTCTTAACCTTTAAGTACTGGTGGTAATATTTTCATCAATATCAATACAGTGTTATTGTGTATGAAGTGATGGCGTAGAAGTGGAGATTAGTGTTATAGCAACTCTGCCTTACCTCATGTCCCTGAGTGTCACATTCATTGGTAAACCGGAACTGGCTCTGAAAAGAGGTGACAATCAGTGTAAGAAGATACACTCCACAGGTTTTTTGTTCTGCTCTGAGCAATTTTTTTCCACTATGATTATGTATCAAGACTGTTAGATGTATGTCTTTCTTTCAACTCAATGCCACATAGGCAGCAATCCAAAGAAAACATAGGTCAAAGCTAGCACTGATATGCCATTTTATTTTGCATGTACCTTAAGATAAAAATGCCATTTTATTTTGCATGTACCTTAAGATAAAAATGATTGGATAAAGTAGGAAAAAAATCTGCAGAGTAACATTACTTTATATGCTGGTCCAAGGTGATATATAGCATCTATGTACTGAGGTTGGAGAGCTTCACTGAACATATAGATAGTGGACATCTGACCACAGAACATGCTCTCTTCTTTCTGCTCATGTGTGGTGCCTATAAAGCACTTGTTGAATGGCTGGAAATAAAACACAACAAGCTGTGTGAATGTCATACATTATTCTATAGCTTCTTCCTATGAATACCAATTAAACAGTTCTTGTCACATCTTCTCGTACTCAGTAACTACATCTTTGGAAAACACTCCATTTCAATGGGTATCTTCACACATATTTTCTCAGATGTGGAAATTAATAAAACAACACACTTAATTTTGTCTCACTAGGAATCTAGCTTAGCAGCACGACCTGAGCACAAAATAAGTGCATTTAATCAAGATGGTAGTAATGTCTATCAATAGTGCAGCTGTCCATCTTACCTCATTCCCACTGACCAACCAGGACATCTCTGTGGTGGACACCATCTGACCATCAACATACACTTGGACTTCACTCTTCCCCCATAGCCTGTACACGTGGACCAGAGTGACCATGTACCACTGGGAATAATACCAGAGAACATGAAGTATGAATGTATATAAATATAAATATACATGTACCACTGGGAATAATACCAGAGAGCATGTAGTCTGTGATATATACATATAAATATACAATTCACCATATATAATATATACCAAAATAAATATACCACTGGAAACAATACCTACCAGCACGTAGTCTGTAATATAATACACATATGTACCACTGGAAGCACGTAGTCTACAGCTTAATTGTTAAGGAAGTATAAACACTAAGATAAATGCCAGTTCCAACATAAGAACAACTGAAGGTACACTCCAAGCATATAAAAATAAATATATTACAATTTTTTTTTATAAATAATTATCCTTGATATTTCATGTAAAACAAATAATTCTTACCTTTTTGGGCTGAAATTCAAAATTGACACAGTGCTGGAATCCCTTCCCTGCTATCTTCATGGCGGTGATAACCAGAGCACTTCCTATGAAGTGTGCCGAGTAGCCCAGGCCCTTGGCTGTACGGAAACTGAAATATCACTCAGCTGATACAGAGCTTGTCATATCTTTACCTATTAATAAGCTTGTCTGAATTATAAATTAACATGAATTATAGATTAACATGGCATACCTTCTTCATATAGAGGAAGTTGCAGAGAAGGTTGATTTTAAATTTCTATCCCGCTTCCAGTAGCCACAGGGATCATCTTTGTCCCATGCTGCTCTCAGCACCAGTTCTTACACTGGTGTGCTCAGTGGGATATCAACATCAACAAGCCCATGGATCTTTTGAAATCAAAAACATTTCAACCATTAACAACACTGGTTGCATTCCTAACTTAGCAGATAATGTAAATTCCCATAGACTTACGTGTACAGATATGGTTTCTCTCTCTCTATGTTCCCTCCTGACACTGGGTCCAGCCTGATCCAAGTAGAGAAGGTCCAGCCATTCTGGTATGGCCATTTGGCAATAGGGGGCAGTGCTATACACTAAATTTGAAAAACAAAAACACAGTATTACACTTTTAGGGTGCTTTCCCAGAGATTTAGATCAATCTAAAGATTAAGTTTTAGATCGACCTAACTCCCTGGGGGTTCACGCTAAATTGCAGTCAGCCGAGTTAATAGCAGTCAGCCATAGTTAATTACCCCCTTACAGTTTTTAGTAGGCAGGACAGACGCTTAAGCCGGCCAAGCTGACAGTAATCTAGTGAGACTCCCCACAGGGATAGATCGATCTAAAAATCTATGGAAATGGGGTGTTAAATTTCTGGAGAAGCAGACTATTGCAGAAAATAAGAAAGGAGAAAGGCTGAGCAATAACTTTACTTGTACTTAGGATTTTATACTAAGGGAATTTTACATCAAATAGTTGTATCGCTGTTGTTAAGATAGCTCTTTGTGAAACTTACAGCTCCTGTCTTCCCTGGAAAGCTGAAGAACTCGTCCGGTCCATGTCTTTGTGGCATGTGTCTCAAGACAGAAATTAGCTTGACAGCATGCCGAGGCTGAAATATGAAGTGAAAGCTTGCTTAATATCAATAACAAGAATGCCAAGGAGTGTCCTTTAATACATATTCACCTGACAGTAGGAGTGAGTCTATACTAATTACTGACAGCCTCATCCCCTGCTATATTGTTGATCAGTCTAAACCTACACAGAACTGTCACCAATGGAACCAGCTACACACCAGGTTTCTTCAAATCCAGTATCATATTTTCATATTACTGTACTAGTATCTAGACTTTCATATTAATAGAAGTAACAGAAAGCTCTTGTGTGGCATTTTTTCAAACAATTTAAGTTTACTTTTTATTATTATTATTATTATTTTTTTTTTTTTTTTTTTTTTGCCTACAATAAGAAATGAAAGTTTACTCTGTTATTGTTTTAACAGTAAGCCCCACCAGTTGTTCATTAGATTTTCTAAACAGAAACCCACCCATTTTCCATTGCTTGCTTTCAGGAACCCAAACAGCAGTTTCAGTTCCTTGACGGTGATGCTGTAACTTGCTAACACGCCCATCATGTCAATGAGGAGATCTAGAGAAAAACATTCAATACTAGGAACTGTTTTAAACTAATAAAAAACACAAAATAATGGATTGGGCAACAGACCATATAGTTATAGATGCCAGAAATAACTTCTCACAAAACCATGGAAAAACTATGATCCTCTATTGTAGAATTGTTATAAACAAGCTGCACTTGACATCACATCACATCTGATGGAATACCCACCTCCCACCACTTCATCCGATTCCTGCAAATGCTGCAGCGCCTTCTCAATCAGACCAACCTCTGTGCATGCCTGCAGGTTACGTGTGCTCTTGCGCAAGATGGCGGTGAAGATGCTCCAGATCTCAGCCTGAGAAAGATATTTTGTTGATATTATTTGCAACTGTTAGAAATACAAAGCCTTCTGTGCACATGAACATTTTAACTTGCTGGAGTCTGCACTCTGTGTGCAGTCTTCTATTATAAATATCAAAAGAAACATATAATGGCATACATTACAAAAACCATCTCTCACACATGTAACAAAAATTATTTAACTACATTTGTTACAATCACAAAAACATATAAAATTAATTATGTAAAACCTATTACTTCCATTCACTAGTAGTACACACCATCTAAGCCAAAAGTAATATCTTTATCATTCATTTAGTTTTTATTCCCTCTGAAAAGCCTTGTGCTTTGATAAAATGTAAGCGCTCAATCTTATGGTATACACATAATTCTACCTGAACAACATATGTCTACTTATCTTGTATTAAAGGGATAACAACTCTTTGTTTTGGCCAAAAAATGAATTTTCCTGAAGTAAACAACAATTTTCCCATACTTACCAATGGTTAATGAATCCATTTTTACATTCAAAATTAGTCCCTGATTTTTTCTAAGTTTGTTTTTTTTTTATTAAATTTCCAAGAGATTATTACAGAGTATAGCCATCAATGGAGGTCACATGGTCTAAAGACAAGCTCAGATATCAGTATATTAGCTATAACTGACGTTTTTGTGGTAAAACAGAATATATATCATATTTCTTTGAGTTGTTCACAATGTTTTTATTGTGAAATATAGATCTCATACAAAGAGTTATTATCCCTTTAAGTGTGATCACAAGATCTAACAAATCTCTTAATAATCTACCTGTAAAGTAGGATTGCATGTGTCTACTAGTTGCAGCATGTGCTTGATATTTTCAGGTTCTTGTATGATGAAGTTATTTTCAAGGTCCAGCTCACCACCAACCAACTGCAAGAAAATAAAAGCATGTGTTCAGTTATGTTTCCTAAAGTTAACAAGGGTTGGAGAAATGGTAGTCAATGGCTTGTTTGTATCATCATGCTGATTTAACATGATATAATTCCCTGTTTTAAGGGGCCAAAAATGTAAATTTTCCCATTACTGCAGGAACCTTTCCTTTGGTAGAAACCCCAGTCAAAAAGAAAAATTCTAAAAAGTATTTCAATATCAATTAGCTGATGCTATACTTGTTCTCTTAAATGTAACATGTTTATAAGGCTGATCGAGGATAATTAATAAGCAAAAAAAGGAAAATGATAACCTATTGTGCTACCTTCACAAAAGCATTAGATTCAAACAATGCCATAAGCTGTATAGACATACCTTAATTGTTAACAATATGTATACATATGACTGTAGATACACCATAATGAGCACATCAACTACAGGCAGCTGATACAGACCAGCAACATAAAGGCATACAACACTGCCACCTTTGACAGAATGCTGTTATATCTATGTCAGAATATCAGACCAGATTTTTTTTATTCAGACACAAAACTGATTCAAAGTCCACAAGAACAAGTCAGAATGTGACTGCATGAGTATATTGTGGACTTCTTACCCAGATACATTTCAATCACTAAATATAAAAGACGTCTCTCATAATGATATTGATTGCAGTTCAGTCCAGCCATATAAAGAAGCAATAAAATCACCTTGTTGCAATAGCCATCACGCGAGAGCAAATTCAACAGTACTGTGTGTGCGTGCATGCATGTGTGTTAGAACCCATTCTATGTACTATATGCTGTTTTATCATCCATGAAAACACAAATGCACTCTTTCAAGACATAATAACTATATTTGCTACTACTAGCATATTATCTTTAAATGCATCTTGTGTGCAAATGGTGATAATACAAATATTAATTAACTAGACCTTTTTCCATTTTGGCTTCCTTTTTCTCTCAACAGAACATAATGTTATTTAAATGGTCTTTTCTTTATTACAAGTAAGCAAATGCTACACAAGGAATACAGCATATCTACAAAAACTTTATTGGTCTTTGAAAATATTAAAGGTGCAAATTTTTCTATCTGAACAGGAACTAAATATCCGAAATATATCTGGTTTTCCCAATCACGCAGTGCTATGCTCCTTCAGCACTATTTATACTGAAAGCTAGTGACAAACATCATGACAAGCATTAAATGTGGTTTATTTGGCAATCTGACAGCATGTGATTAATTAATATTCTCCTGAGCATTCTTCAATTTTCCCCAGTGACTTGGGATTCTGTTTTGTCAGTAGGATAGTACAATATTCCTGTCTAGATATTTCCTTAGTACATATCATAGCAATATGCACAGTCTTAGTACAACATGCAATGATTCATTACAGGAGGGAGCAATCATTAAACTTGGGCACAATGTTATTCAAGGAAAAGCTGAAGTGCAAAACATTCCAACTCTTACTGCCATCTGAAATTCTGTATTTAATGTGATAAAAAAGGTTCCATCGTATTCAGTTCCTTTAGTTTTTGAAATCTTTATTTGGCAAATCATTACAATGTTCAACAGTGGTAGCGGTGTGGATGGTGTCCCTGCACTTACTTCTTACCACCTGTAAACCTAATACCAGCCAAGGCACAGTGACATATGTCTGTGTAAAAGTGCTAGGTCAGCATGCTGTTTTTTTTTCTTGTTTTTGCCTGGACATCACCATGTTCAATTATTTTTTTGGTATTAAAGAAAGGTCCACATTTACATGGTTTGACCATGTGGCACCATCACTGACATTACAGTTCTTCAGATAGGCTATCTATAACTTCCTTGACTTAAAATCACTTCAAACAAGTACAGCTATATACCTATTATTTCAATCATAGCACAAGTGGAAGTAAGCATTAAGAGTGTGTGTGTGTGTGTGTGTGTGTGTGTGTGTGTGTTTATATCTGTTACAGTTTCCCTTTTAGACCATTATGAGAATGACCTTTGTGTAAATAATAGCTGCGGATACGGGCAATGCATTAATGTGGCTTTTACATGTGAACAGACAATGGTGAATCCATTATACAGCAATATTTCTCACAACTGATTAGTTAAATTTTCTACCAAGTACTGGCTGGATTTGACTTGAAATTAAACTACTATGACTGTAATGCCAAATGATGGACCCATTACACAGCATCTTAATTCAAAACCAAACTGCATTTCCAGATTGCTTTTGCATGTTGTAACTTGACAATTACCTTATTTCCCTTATTCACAAATTTCCATAAGGTTTTATAATTATTATATGGAATCAAACCCATTCAAATGATTCAGCGATTTCATGAGCTATTGCCAAAAAGATGGCACTGAAAGAGCAAATTCATTCATAGCAATTTCATTCAATGGTGAAGATTTATGCGTTCTTTAATAGATACATTTGTGAGACTACAGCATGGAAACACTATCCTGTTCCATGAGAATCATATCCACTTGTGTTATTATTCCCAAAGATATCTCCCAAAGAACACACTACTGAAGGAATTTTGTCAGGAAATCCCAGTGCAGCAAGCCAACAGTCCATCATTACTTTTCAGCTTAGTGAGATAAAATACGATAGGTTCTTATTTGTGCTATGTACTTTAGCTGAAGTAAAACCTGATGATATGAGCATTAGACTTGATAACTTTTTTATCTTTCTACTTATCTATTCTTTTTTTTTCTTTTCTGAAAAAAACAAGAGCATGTATAATTCAAAAGAATATACTGACTTTATTCAAGGTGAGAAGACATACCTGAGGACAGTGACATTTTTTAAGTAGAGCCTATACTAAAACATTAAGCCTGTTATTAAGGAAACGGAATTCAAACTGAATAAAAGATCTCATACTTTAAAGTGGTAATGTAGGCAGAAAAAATGTCTTAAGTTCTGAATGTAGCCTATACACAGCACTAGCCATTGGGAAGGTTTATTCTTTAAAAAGAAGATCAAAAAGCTACGTTTCTGTCTTATATCAGGCTGAGAAAAGTTTCAATCACCCATTAAAAAAAACATTTCCTAATTGACCGTTTTTACTTTTTATTTCCTTTCATCATGTTGATGTTGTGCTGTGCTCATTGTCCAACAGGACAGTCCCTTGTTTACCTGTTATGTGACTGGAAAATAATCAATCAATAACAATATACAATTTCTCTTTCAATATATCAGGTGGTGTCACAGAACAAAACATCAGGGCTGGCAAATACATACAAAACTAGTTTAAACCAATCATGATTTTTTTTTTCAAACTCAAACAACCTTTTCATTAAATAAGAAAATTCAAAGTAAAACAATAAGGTTTGGCACTGATGCAGAGAATGTCACAAAAATACACAAATAAGTCCTCTCTTATATTTCAAGTAAAACACAAATATGTGCAGATAGGCACTTAGTGCAAAAACACATGCAAACCAATAAAATGCAATAACTGAACCTGTAACCTGAAGCGTACAGTTTACTCTGTACATTTTTGATTTTATAAAATGAAAAGTTTGGCAGTTTTTGGACAAACAAATGTGCTGGACTGCAACAGCATCAGCAACAACATGGATCAACAGTGACAACACAGATTTTCTGAATATATCTGTCTTCATTTTAAAATGGCAACAACCCACCACTGATAACCTAAATTATAAAAGGACAGTTGGCTGTCACCAAGCTGTGCTCAACATGGTAATATAACCAAATACTGGAAGATAAATTGAATGTTTCGCAGTATTCCTTGTGAAACTGGTCCCAGTATACTGCAGTATTATTGAACATACAGAACTACGACATAGGGCATGAATCTTGAAGCAAACAAGAGATAATCAGTTGAAATCAATCTGTACTTGATGGACCTGGATTGTAATTAAATTCTTATAGGCGACAGAAGTATAAGACACTGTGTAGGTAGATGACATAGGTTTAAGCAACATACATACTGGTAAATAATTCTGTGAGCCAGATGTACTTCATATCTTTAATTTCAGTTTAGTCTGTATCTCCACTTCACTAAATTAGCGTATCTAATTGTTTTAGGTATTTTATCGTACTTTTAATTTCCTCCCTTGGCAGAAACTTTATAGTTTACTAAGAAAAACTGACTGCATTCTCACAATATTATCATACAAGCAGGATCGGTCTATCTCAGCAGATATTCTCCTTAAGGCACAGTTACTATAATCAGCCACGCCCCCTTGTAAAGCAAGAAGAACAACATCTTGAACCACGAAGTTTTCCAAACTTGACCCAAGTACTTTAAGTTATGAGGGGGTGTATCAAGGTGAACATTTAAGTCACTTAAACTGTATGCAATTTAGCAAGATCCCAAAGGAGTTAGATTGATTTAGCTAGTATGACAGGATTATGGGAACACTCATAGAGTTAAACACTTTAAAGGTATAAAACAGTCCATCTTTAGAACTGCCCATCACAGACAGCATTAGGCTGCAGTGGTTGTGCTATCTGATCATAACCCACAGTAACTAGGGTAAATAATACACAGAAAATATGTCAGGCTTACATCATCTTATAGCCTGATATTGAGTCCAAACATGTGCCCCAATCAATAACCTGTAAATATCTGTATCATAAGATACAGCTGTCAAATACAGCACCAGACTAAAGCCATGCAGACAGACTATAGCCCAGCACGTGAATGCCTCCATGTTGGGCACATTCCTATGATGGCCTATCTTAGAATGATAAATGGATACTGATCATAATTTTTTTCCTTGAAGCTAAGTGACAAGGAAGATTTACCATACTACTGAATATGCCTTGCCAATGCTAATGTTTATTTCCATGTTAACTATACTTATCTTAAATATCAGAGCAGAAAATTGTTTGCCAAGAGCATAAAACTCCATGTAAAGGGCCATTTTTTGCAAAGTAAGCTAAACTTTTTTTGCATCTGCTGACACAGACACACTGAGCAGACATGTGAGTGACATAAATCAACAGTCAGTTGAAACTGGGAAAGATTGAAATATGATAAAAGTGAATGACACATCCAGTCACAACTCTCATAGCAGTTAACAAATGTACCCACTCAGAAAGTTTTGTGGTATCTGGGACACTGACAAGATATCCAATTGTTTGTCACACCAGAATGAGACAAATAACTAATTCTTAACACTGAAAAGTAGCAACTGATCTTTTTGTTTGTTACCTTTCTTTTTAAGCCAACAAAATAATCCCTAAGGGAGCAAATATTTTAAAGATGAAGTTTTAAGATATGACCTCATGTCAATTTGCCCTCTAAAAACCAACCCATTAATATTTCTTAAAACTTTTTTTCTAGTAAATATTAGGCATGCAGTGTACAATCTGTAATTTAAAGCATTTCTTAACATTTGGCATATGATCCTCCCCTCCCCCAACCAACCCACCCCAAACAAACAATCAAAGAGTCTTTATGCACCAATATTCAAATAATGAGCCCTGTTCCTGTCCAGACAGTCAATTTAAGTAGCTGTTATTATTTCTCAACCCCTTGTCAATGTCAGACACACTTAAAGAGGATTTCTCTAAGGGCTTTTCCAAATGGTACAAACAAGAAAATAACACAACACTGAGGGGCACCATGCTGAATTATTGAACAATTTTTAAGGTATTTTTTCTCACAAACTCAACATGCACTTGTAGGTGACATGCAACATGCTGACAATGACAGCGAGTTTATTCTCATTAACAAAATATGCTGTTGAGAACAGCACTTTGGATCTGACTTGGTTCAAGTGTAACAGTGTCAGCAGCAAAAATCCAATAATTACTACTTATACTGATGCTGAACAAAAGTAAAAAATCTATAACGTGCATTGTACAAACAGAAACAAAATAATATATAATAATCTTGAAGTCAATTTCTACGTTTTCAAACAAAAATAAACCCAACAGACCCTGCTATATTTTATTAAAAATAAAGGAAAGTCTTATTTAATATTCCTAATGTCAGACATTGCTTGTTTTCCTTTTAAACCATCACAATGACCCACCTGCCGGCACAGGTAGGTCAAATCATTGCATCTGCGGCTGTTCTGAAATAAAATAGTTTGGCAGACAAAATCCTTGACCTATGAACCATAGNAGGGTTTATTCTTTAAAAAGAAGATCAAAAAGCTACGTTTCTGTCTTATATCAGGCTGAGAAAAGTTTTAATCACCCATTAAAAAAAAAAACATTTCCTAATTGACTGTTTTTACTTTTTATTTCCTTTCAACATGTTGATGTTGTGCTGTGCTCATTGTCCAACAGGACAGTCCCTTGTTTACCCGTAATGTGATTGGAAAATAATCAATCAATAACAATACACAATTTCTCTTTCAATATATCAGGTAATATCACAGAACAAAACATCAGAGCTGCCAAATATACACTGTACATACTTTTAAAAGCCAAAACTAGTTTAAACCAATCATGATTTTTTTTTTTCAAACTCAACCAATCTTTTCATCAAAGGAGAAAATTCAAAGTAAAACAGTACCGTTTGTCACTGATGCAAAAAAATATCGCAAAAATTCACAAACAAGTCAAGTCCCTTCTTACATTTAAAGTAAAACACAAATACTGTGCAGTTAAGCACTTAGTGCAAAAACACATGCAAACAAATAAAATCCAATTACTGAACCTGTTACCTGAATCTTACAGCTTACTCTGTAAATTTTAATTCTACAAAATGAAATATCTGGCAGTTTTTGGACAAACAAATGTGCTGGGCTACAACAGCATCAGCAACAACATGAATCAACATAGATAATCTGAATATGTCTGTCTTTATTTGAAAATGTCAACAACCCACCGATGATAACCTAAATTATGAAATGACAGTTGGTTGTCACCAATCTGTGCTCAACATGGTAATATAACCAACTGCTAGAAGATAAACTGAATGTTTAGCAGTATTCCTTCTTGTGAAACTGGTCCCAGTATACTGCAGTATTATTGAACATACAGAACTATGAAATAGGGCATGAATCTTGAAGCAAACGAGATAATCAGTTGAAATCAATCTGTACTTGATGGACCTGGATTGTAATTAAATTCTTATAGGCAACAGAAGTATAAGACACTGTGTAGGTAGATGACATAGGTTTAAGCAACATACATACTGGTAAATAATTCTGTGAGCCAGATGTACTTCATATCTTTAATTTCAGTTTAGTCTGTATCTCCACTTCACTAAATTAGGGTATCTAATTGTTTTAGGCATTTTATCGTACTTTTAATTTCCTCCCTTGGCAGAAACTTTAAAGTTTACTAAGAAAAATAGACTGCGTTCCCACACTATTATCATACTAGCAGGATCGGTCTATCTCATCATATATTCTCATTAAGGCACAGTCACTGTAATCAGCCACGCCCCCCTTGTAAAGCAACAAGAACAACATCTTGAACCACCAAGTTTTCCAAACTTTACCCATTGGCAAATACTTTAAGTTATGAGGGGGCGTATCAGAGTGTACATTTAAGTCACATAAACTGTATGCAATTTAGCAAGATCCCAAAGATGTTAGATTGATTCAGCTAGTATGACAGGATTATGGGAACACTCATAGAGTTAAACACTTTAAAGGTATAAAACAGTCCATCTTTAGAACTGACCATCACAGAGAGCATTAGGCTGCAGTGGTTGTGCTATCTGATCATAACCCACAGTAACTAAGGTAAATAATACACAGAAAATATGTCAGGCTAACATCATCTTATAGCCTGATATTGAGTCCAAACATGTGCCCCAATCAATAACCTGTAAATATCTGTATCATAAGATACAGCTGTCAAATACAGTACCAGACTAAAACCATGCAGACAGACTATAGCCCGGCACGTGAATGCCTCCATGTTGGGCACATTCCTATGATGGCCTATCTTAGAATGATAAATGGATACAACATAATTTTTTCCTTGAAGCTAAGTGACAAGGAAGATTTACCATACTACTGAATATGCCTTGCCAATGCTAATGTTTATTTCCACGTTAACTATACTTATCTTAAATGTCAGAGCAGAAAATTGTTTGCCAAGAGCATAAAACTCCATGTAAAGGGCCATTTTTTGCAAAGTAAGCTAAACTTTTTTTGCATCTGCTGACAGGGACACACTGGGCAGACATGTGAGGAACATAAATCAACAGTCAGTTGAAACTGGGAAAGATTGAAATATGATAAAAGTGAATGACACATACAGTCACATACAACTCTCATAGCAGTAAACAAATGTACCCACTCAGAAAGTTTTGTGGTATCTAGAACACTGACAAGATATCCAATTGTTTGTCACACCAGAATGAGACAAATAACTTATTCTTAACACTGAAAAGTAGCAACTGATCTTTGTTTGTTACCTTTCTTTTTAAGCCAACCAAATAATCCCTAAGGGAGCAAATATTTTAAAGATGAAGTTTTAAGATATGACCTCATGTCAATTTGCCCTCTAAAAACCAACCGTTTAATATTTCTTAAAACTTTTTTTCTAGTAAATATTAGGCATGCACTGCAGCAGTGTACAATCTGTAATTTAAAGCATTTCTTAATATTTGGCAAATGATCCTCCACTCCCCCAAATCACCCACCCCAAACAAACAATCAAAGGGTCTTTATGCACCAATATTCAAATAATGAGCCCTGTTCCTGTCCAGACAGTCAATTTAAGTAGCTGTTATTATTTCTCAATCCCTTGTCAATGTCAGACACACTTAAAGAGGATTTCTCTAAGGGCTTTTCCACATGGTACAGACAAGAAAATAACACAACACTGAGGGGCACCATGCTGAATTATTGAACAATTTTTAAGGTATTTTTTCTCACAAACTCAAATATGCACTTGTAGGTGACATGCAACATGCTGACAATGACAGCGAGTTTATTCTCATTAACAAAATATGCTGTTGAGAACAGCACTTTGGATCTGACTTGGTTCAAGTGTAACAGTGTCAGCAGCAAAAATCCAATAATTACTCCTTGTACTGATGCTGAACAAAAGTAAAAAATCTATAACGTGCACTGTACAAACAGAAACAAAATAATATATAATAATCTTGAAGTCAATTTCTACGTTTTCAAACAAAAATAAACCCAACAGGCCCTGCTATATTTTATTAAAAATAAAGGAAAGTCTTATTTAATATTCCTAATGTCAGACATTGCTTGTTTTCCTATTAAACCATCACAATGACCCACCTGCCGGCACAGGTAGGTCAAATCATTGCATCTGCGGCTGTTCTGAAATAAAATAGTTTGGCAGACAAATCCCTTGACCTATGAACCATTGGTGCGCTATATTACGTAACTTACCAAGTGAAGCAATGTATCCACGACTTCTTTATTTGTCACCTGCTCTACTTTAATTAACCCGATCAAAACTCCAAATTTGACCTCGGTACTACCCGGCATTTTGAGCAACTCCTCCACCGTCTTTGCCTCCTGCGCAGGCGATGCATACACTTGCGAACTCTCACTGGTCATAGTGACTGAGTTGCAAGTAATTGAATGCTCCCGATACCACGTGAATGTAGTCGATCAATTACTCAAATCAGATTAGAATATCATGAACAAAATCGGTCGAAATAATTCTGCACTTTCTCCATATCCATTTCCGGGTCAACGGACTGAATGTGCTGTCAAATTTTAATTGGTTTAAATAGATTTTTTGTTTCAAATTTATTTCATAATCAATTAAACCATATTCAACATTTAACTGAAACATAATCATAATGTCCATAACTTTACTCTTTTATTGAATATTGCCTTTCTCATATTCAATATTACTGTTTATCAGTCCCGCAGCACAATATTTCAGCTTCCGTAATTTTTCACAAAGAAATGGCAGTTGCCGAAGTGCAAAGAAACTTGGTAAGTTTTCCTCATAGAAATAAGTTGCAGGTGCTTAGAATGTTGCGTTCATGATCATTTGAAAATATTCATATTTGTTTATTAAGATATGTGTGGTATTTAATTAATTTTAGTCTGTAAATCGAAGCTATCCTTCATGTCAAGGTACAATCTTTAGATAGTGTAATGTAAGTGAAATATGTGAAATGGCACCTATGGTGGGTGTGGACCCGCGGACGGATTCGATTAGAGTCAATTTTAGAGGAATAAGAATAATTAGATTTTCAAAATGTTTTCTTTGAAATATGTTACTACATTTTTACCAATGATTTTTAATTAAAAGATTACCATTTCTATTTTGATTCTATTATGTATTTTAAGTCTGTTCTCACGACTCTTGGATAAAACATTTCTAGGTGTTAAAACGCCATGCAGGTAGGATTCATAACAGATAGCATTAAAGGATACCTTTTAATACATCATTTGTTGTATGTCTATGTAAATCGTGACCACAAAGCTATCACTGGTAGTTGGTGCTTGTGCCTTATGGTAATGTTCCATTAATATATATGACCTTGATGCATGAAATATGCATAGTAGTAAGCTTGCACAGCCTGGGTCAATGTAGTTTTGTCTTCTCTAGGAGCCCAGAAGCCATGGATCAGGTTTGTCTGTATTCTGAATTTTGAACTTCAACGCCAGTACCATGCATTTCAAATTTCACAGGCAGGGTTGTCCACTTTGTGTTAATGTATATGTTTAACACATTTTAACCTGTCCTTTTTTAAAATACTTTTTATTTAAAACATGATTCATGATAAGCTAAATGGTAGAGACTTAAAATTATATGTAGTGAGACTATGAATTATCAGAATTTTGCCGTTCTCACTTGATCATATTACTAGTAATTGTAAACAAAGATTATGTAGTTTAAAAATTTAGTTATAATATGCATGATTAAAATAAGTTCTTGAAATTTAATTAGAGGAATATTTTTATGATAATTAAGTTAGTTGTAAGAAATTGATTCTGAAATTGATACAAACACATTTGAAGACAACATCTGGTCCAGTATCATTTGATAGCTTTGCCATCTGCCACGTGTGAGAAAGGAAAAATATGACTTGATTTTTATGATGATATATGCAAGTTTGATGTCATAGTATGTTGCAGCAATAAGATCAAGATTAGATTATCATGGCAATACCCTTGGTTAAGTCATGTTGTGCAATACATAAATGTACATGTATATATATGTGTTGATGCAGTTGATGTACATGATGTATTTTAGTTGATTTAGCCCATGTTTCAGAACAGAAGACAAAATAAATGTTTCTTAATCATTAATGTCAGGAAAGATAGTAATATATCTGAATGTTGGCAGATGACTCAGGACAAACCACTTCTAGTATGGGTTGGAAGTATCTTTGAAGTTTGCCATATTTCATCATTATTATGATAATCAGTATTGTGATATGTACAACAAAACAAGTGAGATGTAGAGAATTTCCAACATTATTACAGAGAGACGTTTTCTGCTTCAGCTATTTTTTTTAAATCTAGGTAGTCTTAGTAACTTACAATAACATTTGCTTTAAACAAAAGCAAAATCCAAGTGTCATGTCTATTTCAGTGTTAAAGATATGCTAGTACTTTTTGAATATATCCTTAAGGAATTTTTTTTTTATTCCTAAGTATCCTGCAAAGTTACTTGTCTGAAATTTGGCCTTAAAAATAATAAAACCTCTCAAATAAAAATACTTATAATTGTCATTATTTCCTTCTGTAATGTCAAGAAGATTGTGGTGGTTTAAAATGTCTGGCTAGGCATTTAGAACAAAATTACCTTATTAGGAGTAAAGCACTGAATCCAATGCTAGTATCCAAGTCAAGCAATGATTTGCGAGTAGGATAATATTGCCTTTTTTTCTCAAGGAACATGAGATTTAGCTTTAAAATCCCAGAAAGAAAACCTTTTAGGTGTTCTTAAGCAATTATAAATTGTAACTTTGAGTGAGTAAGATGAAACTCATTGGTTAGTCATCTACTATTTTAAATAAATAGTTTCTGAGCATTTGTATTGATAAGGAGAATTATAGATAAGATCGACATGTACACATTGACTTGTTAAGGACAGAGTTGTTGACTTAAAGAAAAACTGTATTTATATACAACCTAATTAGAATAAAAATTTTACTGTCTGCTCATCAAGAGTGTCATTTATATAACCAGGAAGTACTATTTGACATTTGAAAAGACCCAAGTCCAAAAAATTCAATTGTCTACAGGTCAAGAGTTTCATGTATTGTAACCAGGAAGTAACATTCACAAAGATGACGGAAATACACTCAACATGCACAGCACTATTGATTGAAGGAAAAAAATGAAATTTATATCCACCTTTGAGAACTGCATCTCTATTGCTTTACGTCCTGTTGCTCTATATGTCCCTCAGATTGTATTTGATTGAAACACTTCATTTTCATGATGGGACATTTCTTGTGGTAGTGCAGCCTTTATATCATGGCCTTAATTTGTTGTGACAAATATATTTTAGTGATTGTTGCCATTTTGTATTGATCCAAAATTTAATGATGTACAGTAATCAGTGCTCACAAATATCCTTGGTTAAATATGGTTACTAGTATATGTCAGTTTTCACTGACAGAAAAGTTTCACATTACATATTTATAGTAAATAAGTTATTATACTGATGCATCTATGAAGATCAACTATAAAGATGTAATATCTAAAGGTGGATTAGGTATATAACATCTAGTAGATCTTCATAGATGTATCAGTATAATAACTTATTTACTTCTTAAAGATCTATACAGTGATTTGACATGAATCTTCAACATAACATATTTGAAATGCACCTTTTATCAGACATAATTGTTATATAAACTGAAGTATGCCAGGATTTAGTTGTTTTTAAAACAGCTGTGTAACAACATATAAATATGCCTAGGCCAGGGTAGCTTTCAACTTTGGCAAGCACCTTTTACTTTTGGGATGTTTAAATAGAAGTTTGCTGTATCTGGTTGATTATGGCACTTATGATCAACACGTACTGTGGCAGAGAGTGTCTTTTCACACCAATGTTTGGCAGATGGTTCTCTGTCTACATGAATTTTGCATTCATTTTTTCTATATTTCCTGAAGGAGAGCTAATTAGCTTAGCAGTGTTTTGTATGTAATGAAAAAAAATACAGAATGCTCCTGAAAAAATCTGCATTAGGGTCAAACATCTGTGGTATGTTATTGAACTGCTCCTGGTGGAACTGGTGAAATGTTGTGCAATATAAACCCACACATTCTTCATGTCATTGCAGCCTCCAGAAGCACGTCACCTGAAGCTGAATGGCCATGTCGGGTTTGACAGTCTCCCAGACCAGCTGGTCAACAGGTCCGTGTCACAGGGATTCTGCTTCAATATCCTCTGTCTAGGTATGGAACAGTATCTGCTGAATCTTTGATATTTTCTGCAGTTCTTCTTTATTTTATTTTTAATTTTTTTCAATTCAAATACTGTAAATTTACCTTTACAATTTTATCAAAGTATTTGTATGGTATGATATATATGTATTATATGAGTGTGCTGTATCATATTTCAGGAGAGACAGGCATTGGCAAGTCCACACTGATGGACACACTGTTCAATACTCATTTTGACTCCACTCCCAGCAAGCATGATCTGCCTGGGGTTAAACTCAAGTCTAATACTTATGGTAAGTGATCTGTTTGCAGTGGCAGTTCCAGATTTAAGGTAACCTTAGATCATTTCTGTATATTTGTTGGCATGGTATTTACTGTACAGTATAAGCCAAGGGTACGTTTACTTACTAGGACTTTATCGAAGTGAATATTTTGATTCATCCAGTTATATTATAATAAGAGAAGAGAAATTTAAATCTACTAGTGGATTTTGCATTGAAATGGAGATCACTACATTTTGACCTTTTCACCAGGTTTTCTTCAGATTGTGAATTGTCACCAGTGAAATGCACATTAGATTGGAACATACTGCCTTGAAGTGACTTTTTTTATTTCCAGCATTTATACAAGTTCTGCTGTTGTTGTTGCATTTTCTTTAAGTACATTGATAAATTAAAGGATTTACCGTTAAAACTCTGGCAAGAACCTACTGTATATTGTATAATTTCACCAGTGCATTTTATGATTTGGATAGTATATATATATCTCAACCATTCACGTTAGTGATCAGCTTGGGCTTACAAAAAAAAAATTGGATTACATTTGTACATTACAAAAGAACTGAATTTTGTGCAAAAAAAAGAAAAAAAAAAGATACACTTGAGATGTATTTGGACATAATTGTAAGCTGTCAATATGCCGGTCAAAGCATCATATCTAGGTATAACTGAACTGTGTGTCTTGTCTCCTAATAGAACTGAAGGAGAGTAACGTGAGGCTGAAGCTGACCAATGTGGACACTGTTGGCTTTGGTGACCAGATCAACAAGGAGGACACGTGAGTAGACACACACGGGCCATTTTTAAGAGTTTATTGTTAATGAATTGCCCATGTCTGGGTTAGTTGTACCTGCTCTTTAATTACCTTTTCTTTCCCCATAACATTAAATATGGATATTAGATAGGATAATTAACTATAAGTCTATGGAGAGACATTGCTTGTTTTTCACCTGAAGAATTGTTAGAGTACCTGCAATTACTTAGTTTAAATAAAGCATAAAAGACCATGTTGTGTATAATATGAAGCATGTTAAAAATATTTATGTTGAATATGTGTTATTGCTATTAAAATTATATATTAAATTCTATCTATACAGCTATTGAGATGGGCAATCAATGTTCTTTTCCAGATTCAAGCCAATAGTGGATTACATCAATTCTCAATTTGAGGCTTACCTCCAGGAGGAGCTGAAAATCAAGAGGTCCCTGCATTCCTACCACGACACCAGAATCCATGCCTGCCTCTACTTTATAGCTCCTACAGGACACTCGTAAGTGTAACACACTGATATGCCCTCTGGAGAGAAAATGTCAGGATAGCAGTTGCCATCATTAAAGTCATAATAACTCTTCGTTTTGGCCAAAAATTGGATTTTCCTAGAGTAAACGACAATTTTCCCGTACTCACCAATGGTCAGCGACCCCATTCATGCATTCAAAGTTAATCCAGGGTTTTTTTCCTAAACGTACGGTTTTTTGTTAAAATCTCTTAAGTGATTTTAACTGACGGAGCCCTCTCTAACATAGCATATCGAGCGGGGTTTTCTGATGACCTACTTAAAACCACGGGAAAAGCAGACAACAACAACACTTTATTGCAATAAAATAAGATTCATACGATATAATCGTCTTAATTGCTTATATTCACAACGTGTGCAGTTCTGGGCTTTTCGTTATCCGACACACTGTACAAAAACTCGCAACTTACGTCTGAGGATTGTGTCATGCGCCTGTGTTATTTTGGTCTCGACTGCACGCGAGAATCCGCATGATGCACCAAAATCCTTGGCAACGAATGCCTTGATGACTGCACGCGAGAATCCGCATGATGCGCCAAAATCCTTGGCAACGAATGCCTTGATGACCGGGAAAAAAGGCACCGAAAGCCCTATTGACAAGCACAGTTTTTAGTTTTACTACAATAACAGCCGTTTTAGTGGTGAAATGCAATATAATATATTTCCGTGTGTTGTTTAGAATGTATTTCTTGCGGAATTTTGAATCTCAAAGGAAGAGTTATTATTGCTTTAAGTCAATGTTATGTGAAATGTGAGGTCAGAATTCTTGAAATTGCACATAAACAATGTGACAGTGTTATAATATGACTTATTATGTTGTTGTTGTTATTTTGCTTATAAAAAGGTCATGTTTTTTATCAAGATTATCGTGCACAACACATTTCTTTGATGTTGTAAATAAAAACTTGAGTTGAAGTGTGTAATTTCTCCAGCCTGAAAGCCCTGGATCTAGTCACCATGAAGAAGCTGGACAGTAAGGTGAACATCATTCCTATCATAGCCAAGGCTGACACAATCACCAAGAGTGAGTTGCAGAAGTTCAAAGCCAAGGTGAAATATATCTTTATTATTATTATCTGACCACATTGTTGGTTTTCATTTACAAATATGGAGTTTTTACTTTTATCACCAAGTTATCATATTAAATCTATTGTCTAATGAGACCAGACATAAAGGTTAGGTGTGGCAATTGCAAAGTAACATACAGCAAAATAGAAACTATCACCATTCTGCATATTTATTTAGAAGAATAGCAAGATTTTATGCTATTCTATTTGTAACTGCGACTTAAATTTTTTTTCAAAACCTAGGACTGCCTGTATCCATATTAGTCCCCCTTTTTGATCTTATTCTCATTAACATGTACAAAGAAGGTTCATACCTTTTTTCTTCCATTTCAGCTGATGAGTGAGCTGATGAGCAATGGGGTTCAGATCTACCAGTTTCCCACTGATGACGAAACGGTGGCAGAGCTCAACTCTTCCATGAATGTAAGTGTTTGTAGCTGATGTCTGATCGCAGTGGGAAGTAGAATAGTTGCGTGCTGTTTGTCACTAACCAGTGCTAACTATATTATTCAGTAATTAAGAATCTTTTATTATGTGTTATGTGAAAAAACAAGTTAAATGTCTCTTAAATGAGAAAGGCAATGGGTTTTTTGGCATACACAAAAGAGAAATGTCTGTACATGCTGCCATCAAAATCTTAAATGTAAACAAAATGTTTGCGTGTGATTTTCTGACAATTGTTAAGCTGTAGAGCATGTATTGAAGCTTTATTGACAATGTTCCAGGCACATCTTCCCTTTGCTGTTGTTGGTAGCACAGATGAGGTCAAAGTTGGGAACAAGATGGTGAAGGCAAGGCAATACCCCTGGGGCACTGTGCAGGGTGAGTGGTCACTTCAGACTGGACATCTACGGTAATGTCTTGATCTTTTCAATTAGGGAAAATTGTGAATTTTACAGATACTGTATTTTTAAGTCATAATTTCTTAAAATAAGAGTATTTCTATTGAATGGTTGCAACAAAATTGAAAAGCAAACTGCCTTATAGTTGTATTTTATGAATTAAAAGCACCACAAATGCTATACAAAAATATAATTTTTATGATTTTAAATTGATGTATCTGAAAGTTTGATCGTTTTTGCCCACTGAAAAGATTGAGTCATTACGGTAGTTCTTGTGAACAGATGTAGATGTGATGAACATTTTATCTTTGCAAGGTCCTTTCCACAAACAAATTACTGAGAAATTGGTATTAATCTGAAGACCATGTAATGCCATGCTGATATTAGCTTGTGTTGTCAATGTCCAAATAAAGCATCTCCAGCCCTTGAACTAACAATACAGTGATGTTATTTGGAGTCATAACAGTGTATAAGACGGCAGAACAGTCAGATTGACAATTAATTACTGTTGGTTTTTTTTAGTGGAGAATGAGAACCACTGTGATTTCGTGAAGTTGAGAGAGATGTTGATTCGTACAAACATGCAAGACATGGTGGAGCAGACGCACAGCCGCCATTATGAACTGTTCCGGCGCTGTCGACTGGAGCAAATGGGATTTACAGATAGCGAGAGCAGGAGGTATGTACTCCACTGCTACTGTGTTGTGGCAATGTGATGTTTGTGCATCATATAGTTTCCTGGAACACATCTGATATGTATAAACATGCACTCATGCTTGATGTTTTTACTTACCCTAAACTCATTTTAGCTTTAACTTTTGTCTCATCCAAACAAATGTGAAGTCACAAAAATTACGTCAGGAAAGAAAATATTAATATATAAGCATTTAATGAATTCACTGTCACTGTTTTTTTATTCATCAGCTGTCCTCGACTTTTACCTAGAAAAATGCCTAAATATTTGTATTTGTTAAAAGCTAGGCAGCGGATATTTTTGACAACCCAGTCTCAACATACGTGTCATTACACCCCAACATAAGAATTTAATTTGTGATTTCAGCTTAAAGGAAACCTACGAGCTGAAGAGGAGCGAACATGTTGCCACTCTTCAGAAGAAGGAGGAAGAGATGAGACAGATGTTTGTTGTTAGAGTGAAGGAAAAGGAGTCTGAATTGAAGGAATCAGAGAAAGAGGTTGGCCATTATTTCATTTAAATTAACCATAAATGTACATGTTAAACTTTAAAATAACAAGAAAACCATTTTCTTGGAATTTTCAGCAAATTGCAATATTTATCAGCAATTTATTTTTATCCAAAATCATTTACAAAATTACAAGCAATAAACCATTGTTGCATCCCATATTTTTAATATACTGCCCTGATAGAAATTCACCTGTAGCTATCTTCATTACAACAGTTACTGGACTAGAAACTGAGAACTCGAAAACCATTTATAAATGGTATTCTGGAAATTGTATAGCATGGTGGTTAAGGAATTAGTATCTGTGTGTGTTCTGATCAATGTCTGTACAACTCATTAACTGTAGCTGTCATTGTTGCCATACATTTAATATATTTGTTCAACATATAACTCCTTGTATTTATTTCACTTATTTTTTTTACTCAACTTTTTAAAAACTCATTCTCCATCTGTCTGGCTAAACACCATTAGATCTATTTATCCGAATTACTGTATCATGACTATGTGTATAATGTACTGTCCCATTATCTAGTTTCTGTTATTTCAGTGTCTGACAAATAATACTGGAATGAGACAATTTGGTTGAAGTTACTGTACTTGATATTTTGCCAATATCATTTTCAGTTGCATGCCAAGTTTGACAGCCTAAAGAAGCAACATGCAGATGAAAAAAAGAAACTGGAAGAGAAAAAGAAAGCCATGGATGATGAGTACAACTTGTTCCAGAAGCGGAAGGCTGCCACCATTGCCTCACAGCAGGCAGCTCAGCAGGCAGCACAGGCAGCCACTCTCAGTGGAAAGGGAAAGAAGAAATAGGTGGCAGCACATGCTAATGAGATTAGGCGTGGATGAAGAGGGAAAGTTTTATAGCTGGTCAGAAACTTTGATAGGACCATTGAATCTTAGGAAGAGGAAATAAGAGCTGGCTGATCAAGAGTTTTGGATGGAGTCGTACTGTGCTATTAGTTAACTAACAGACTAGCTTATATTCTATGACTTTACAAAGTTATACTTTGTCAAACAGTATAGTATTTAATGTTTCCTGAGAAGCTCCAGTTATTGCTGTGATGCTTCATTGTGCTGTCATCTCATTTGTGTTTTGTAGTATTGCCCGTCTTATTTCTGTGCTTACAGCTATGATATTTGTATTAAGAAAATATCTATTTTACCCACCAGATCAGCAGTTCCAAGATGAACAGTATTACATTTTGTAGAATGTAACAATTTTGTGTTGTATTTATGGCTGAATATAGTGTAAATCTTTTTTTACTTCAATGTAGAACTTTGATGCTGCTGACTTAGATGAGCTTCTGTAGATGAAGTTGTTGAGTAATCGGATAGTAAGTAGATTACTAGTATGTTTGCAAAGAATCAACTGTAAGTTACTAATATTTTTCCTAGGTCACAGAAGTAAGTCTTCGTGTTAAAATGACTCTTTTGCCATTAAAAATACTTTCGGTTAAGAGAGGATCAAACTCTATTGGAATCCTATTAAACATCACTGCATGCACATGATGAACATGAAGTGAAGAAATTGCATATTTTGAATCATTTTTAGGAACAGACATAATTACAGACCAGATGTATTTATGAAGTGAATTCTTTTTTTCAAACTTTTTGAAGCTGTGCTATATTACATGATGTTGAAATTTTTATGAAGCATAGTTATTTTTCTTATCCTATGTTCTATATTTATATGTATGTGGGCTTCCATCCAGAATTGATCTTCTAAAAATGAAGTACTTACATGTAATTCTGTTCTTGGGTTAAGAGAAACGTTTGACGTAATTTCAAGTGTTTCTGAGCCCCTGGAGAAGTGTGAAAAGGTATTTAGTTTTAGAGTAGATTTTTACTTCTTATTATACAGTTAACTTTGTGTATACCAGTGTTTAGAGTGCTTTATGCATGCTACAGCTGTGAGACAACAGGAACAACCAGTTCCTGATCTATACAGATCGGACATCCACAACTATTGTAATAGCATCAACAGCATTAAAGCCTGTATTCAACAGTCTATTGGATGTTGTTATGAAGTTAAGTCAGGGGTACCAGGCACAGTACCTTGGTAATGTGTTGGGTTGATAATTATAAAAATAAGGCTTATAGGTTTTACATATAAAACACCAGTAAGATAAATTACCTAGTCATTTTAAATAATAATTACAAAAACCATAAAAAACTAGATAAACAGTAATTTTGATTAATTGACTTTTTCTTAAAAGAGTTGATAAAATGCCAACTTTAAAGACCTATATATCCAGAATTTGCTGTGCCTGTTATCCACCACACCTGATCACTAGGGTTTTTGGTTCCCAGGGATAGAAGCTGAACACCACACTTATTATTCCATGGATAGAAGTTAGACTTATATTTAGGCAGTGGAGTAAACATATCCAGCTTAACTTGGAATAATGCACCCAAAATACACTGGAGGATGAAAATGAATAAGCCCCTGATGACTTTGGAATATAAAAACACACTAAACTGGTTGAACACTTGGAGTGTTATTATTTCATCAACAAAGCAAAAATACAAAATAATTAAAATCGGCTATTAAACAATGATATATAATTAGTAACTGATAAATGTAACACTGCATAGAACTAAAATGTCTCGTTTATAAATTATTCCATCATCATAAATAAAACAAATATATCCTGTTCAGGGAAACATACACTCAATAAAACTATAAACCACATCTTATACATTAATGTTGACAAATTGGCATTGGTGGTCATAGTTACAATATCTGTATTTGTACGTGTCCAGGAACCGAAGACATAATATCACCTCAGTTATTAGCCAGAATTATTTAAGAATCACTACAAAAACTTCTTTTCAATGGCAGTCATGTACCCCCAATATGTGAATCAATTTTTTTCTACTGATTTAATATATGTTGTGTGGAACAGAAAAATTGTTCTCTGGCAGTTACACCTATTAATTAATGATAGTTATATCAATAAAACAAGAGCATGGCTTGTATGACATATATAATTCCAGTTAAAATGTTTTGAAAACTCATTAACTTCCTCAAACCTTGTTGTCACCGTTTTGTATGAACAAATAAAATGAAGTAAAAGGACAAATGTTAAGACTAAGTTATAAATGTACCAAACCCTAGCCATACATAATCAATAAGAAAGTACATTTATCAAAATTAAACTAAGCACATTACTGTAAATAATTTTTTTTTTAATTTTTAAGAAAAGTGTCACTTACTAGAGTCTAAAATGTTTAAAATGATAAAAATTTACTTGTCCTTCTGAGTCATTTTCTGTGCATTTTGATCACTTCAGGGATTTCAACAATGGTTAATTCCAGAGAGGCAGGGGTGATCAATCAGATGTGTTATATATGCTTTGTGATAATACGTATTATGAGGGGCCACTGCCTGCACCTGCAAAAATCATCCAGACTTTTAAGCAGCCAGTGCCAAAAAGTCATGACCACAGGGCCTACTGCACCCTCTCCAGAATCCGCCATTGTGTATTTTTGAGTATCTTTACCTGAACATGAAGAAATAAATGTTACACTGCTCCAAAATGGCATATTTTCTGGTTAAATTGGCATTCCATCAAACATCACACTCCTCGCTGGCTAGGGGTAAATGGGCCTGTCTATTTTTGGGAAGTTTTCAAACCGGATGCTCGAAGTCCTCATCCTGTGACAGCGCAGGTGCTGTCTGTGGACTGAGAGGGGAGGTATTATGGTTGCCGTCAAAACTTGGTTGATATCTGGTTTCATGCTGCACCAACTTATAACATAGCCTATACTCCGCCTGGTGGCAAAATGTGTGTATTATTAATTATATATAATAGCAGATTCATGAACGATGACAAAAATTAGGAACCTGACATAGGAAATGATCTACAGGTATTCATCAATTTTGCCTATAAGTCTGAATCAGCTTTGCTCATCAGGAACCTTTAGTATTTTTTGGAAAAAAAGTTAAGAATATCTGAACTGAAGGCAGCAGTACCCACCGTGTCCTTGATCAACTCAGGACGATTATTCCGGACTCGCCTTACAGCTGAAAATATGTCCACTGTCCCTTCTTCTCCGAGTTCATCTAAAGCTTGGTTCAGAGTACAGAACACTCCACAGCGCTCAGCACCATCCCTGCAATAACAAATTGCCCCATTGCCAGCTACAAATAGATTAAGTAGGGAACTTGCATTGTATCACTTTTATAAATTTTTTCTTTGCCACCAATAAAAGACCCATGTGATATATTTTTTGTCATTTGCTCAAAAATGGCATTTTCTTGCGAAATGAAAATGCAATAAAAGTACATAAACATTATTTTCATTCTCTCAAAAATCACATTTTTATGCAAAGTGAAAATGCAACAAATATACATAAAAGTTCAATGGAATGAAGGACAGTGTGGGAATTTAGTTTATTAATATCATAACTCTGGGGTTGAGATGAAAGGCAGTTTAAGTTATAGAGCTGCTGTAAATCCTTGTAAAATCTGTTACTTTTATTATAAATACGGCATTATATAATATCTGTTAATGTTCTCACTTGGATACAACACAAACAGCAGGCCTGTCTATTCTGTATAAGGCCATGTTCTGCTGCCATAGTTCCACCAGTCTGTTCAGATACAAGATGGACTCCAGGCTCTCTGTACTAGGCTTTTCTTTGTCTGGCCAGGATTGCAGTTGAAACATGCGTACTATCTGAGTCCTCATTGCATTATTTGATTCAGTTGCTTTCAGTTTCTCAAGAAGACCAAATATAGTTTGATTTTGGTTTTTATTCTGGAAGACACAAGGGTGAAGCATGAAATTGAAACTGAGTTGCATCATGTGGTGATAAAACCAAAGTGAACTGCCTCCCCCTCCCCTTTCATGCAGCCTAACACAACTTTTCCTGATAACAATTACTACTCCTTTTTCCATGATCCTAATAGCAGTCTATGAAGACCTGGTAGCATTTTGATGCATTGGCCCAACTACACCCTTACCTCCACTAACTGGAACAACTCATCCATCTTTGGCCCTGGTCTTGGTTTCTGAAAAAGAGAAATATATATATATACTGGGGAGCGCTAACAATTTTTTACACTTAGCCAAATCACCACATTTTTGTCAATTTGTTATCCAAATGACTTTAATTTGACTAAAATTAGTCAAATCAAGTCCTTTTTGTTTAGCCAATTTAGATCAGTTTTAGCATTTGGCGCTACCAGAGAGAGAGAGAGAGAGAGAGAGAGAGAGAGAGAGAGAGAGAGAGAGAGAGAGAGAGAGATATGTATATCAAAATAGAGAAAAAGACTCTTACTGAGATTTATGAAACATTATATTTTCTAACCTAGCTGATTGCACTTTTTTTAGATTTACCTTACTTGTGTAACTTATTTCTATTTATCATATATATAGATTACCCGTTCAATCTTTAACGTCCTTTCCGCAACCCTCATATGCCGCCGTTCACCTATCAAAGTCACCCAGAACGCGCCGTACGGAACCTTTCGTCCAATGGCGGCAGGCCAGAACTGAGGATATTGCTGTAAAAAATGGTGACCTGGCTTAATTAGATTGACGGTCTGGGAGGATCCAGAGATATTATCTGAAAGTCTTCTAAATGTCTTTGTTGGCTCCAGTCCCTCCTCCCCACCCCCACACGCTCTCTCTCTCTCTCTCTCTCTCTCT